CTGATCGATTTTCTTTACTACTTCGATCAATATTTATCGTCTTTGATTTAACTATTGTTTTCGAATTTTGAATATTATTTCCTTTAAGATCACTTATATTCCATACTTTTAATGAACCATCAACTGATCCACTAAATAATCGATCATCAACTATCTAAAAAAATTCAAATTTTTAATTCTATATGAAGAAAATATTTTTCATTTGTTAAAAATCACCTGTATACAATTGATAGCAAGTGCATGTGATTTAAAAGCTCGTTTGATCAAACCTGAACGTGCTTCAAAACATCGCACAATTGCATCACCACAACCAGTAAAAACTATTTAACCACAAAATAAAATAAAAAATAATAATAATATAAATAAACAATAATCATACCAAGACCATGTTCAACTTGAATACATGATACTGAATGATGATGTCCTTTATAAATTCTTGTACAATCACCAACATCAATAACCCAACAACGTGCTGTATGATCAGCACTAATTGAATAGAGTAATTTATTAGTAACCTAAATAATAAAGAAAAATGTCTTTTTTTTTTGTTTTTTTGCTTTTTATTTTCTTTGTCTTCTTACAAGAATACTAATAATTGCTGCCTGATGTTGATCATAAATACGTAATTCAATTCCACGATTTATATTCCAAACTCTTATTGTACCATCACCTGAACCAGTAAATAAAATTTTATTTTGTATATCTGTTGCCAAACAAAGTATAGCTCCAATATGACCTTCTAATGTTTTTAAACATTCACCAGTTTCAAATGACCATATTTTAGCTGTTGTATCTTGTGAACCAGTTATAAGAATATCTTTTGTATAAATATTCATTTCTTCTTCAAAATCATTTTCAATTGTATCATTATTTGATGGAATAAATATGATTGGTAATATACCATGATGATGACCACGAAATATACGTAAACAACCACCTGTATAAAAATCCCAACAACGTACTGTTCGATCATAGGATGTTGAAAGAAGAAAATCACCTAAAACAAAAAAAAAAAACAAAAGATAAACTCTAATATTTATCATTCTATCAGTTATTAATTCATAATGTCTATTATGAGGAGAGTATACTTGACCTTTCTAGTTGATCCAACAATGAATTTTTATGATAAAAATAACGATTCCCAAAAGAAAAACAACCATACCGCAACAAAAAGAAAAAAACAATGTTTGCATGTTAACTCATTCGATTAACTATATAATAGATAAGTACGATGTATTGAACTCAAGTAAATAATTTTTATTTTAATTTATTCTAATAGTTGTTGAA